AATTTGGAGGGAATTTCAAGTGGATGCAGGAGCTCATGGACCGCAGCATCCCCCACCAAACTCACGCCAGCGGCTGACGGCTGATTGAGAAAGCGATTTGCATTTTAAATAGGTGCTTATTGATGCCTGCAACTCTGCTTCCCAGGGTGGGAAAACTACATTATTACTTTCTTGTTGACTGGCATTTACAGCTGGCTGGAAGGAAGGGGAAAGGAAAATCAGGCCGGGATCGATTTTCCCATCCCCGATGCGAGGCCAAGAAGAGATCGAAGAAGCAGAAGAAAACTGACAGCTGGGCAGTAAAGCAGAGAAACTTTGCCAACTAAATTAAAGGTTGCCTTAATGAGGAGAGTAATGGAAGGTTAATTAGCGCATTTACTTCATTAGGCTCTTACTAACAAGGCTTCTCCCGAGGAAGCGCGTTGGCAGGGAGGGGGAAAACCGAGAATCCAAGTGAATGGAAGTGACAGGGATGATGATCAGGGAGGGGGCAACCCACAGAGGGTGGCAGGAAGGGACCACTCAGGAATGTCAATTGGAACATATGCATATAAAATAATATATACACGCACACATTTATATATATAAGAACATATAGGCTAATGCATTCACAAAAAGAGACAGAGCAACCTTCTCGCCCCCTCCCCTCCATAGAAGAATCTGAAGATTATATACTCAGGTTTCTAAAAGCACGGGACCATCTTACAGATTCGGGTTATCAAGCCCCGAAGGAACACGCTGCTTATTTTACCTGCCCTGCTGTATACCACAAGCTACAGAAAACCATTCCCACGCCGAAATCGATGCCCTGATGTTTGCATCGGGCACCGTAAGTTTATAGTCTGAGCTCTGAGAACTGCTCAGGCTATTCCTTAAGGTCTGAGAAAGATAACTCCGGAAAGAACAGAAGCAGGCTTGCCCAAAAATGTCGTGCAGGAGGGGGTCACATAGCAGGCTCCCCAGTTACCTCCTGCTTGCTAGCCGGCTGCCCGAGCCCGCGGCAACCGATCCCAGCCAAGCCAGACCGGGGCAAATAAAGCGGAGAGGAGGGATCACGGAGCTAGGATTACTTTCCACACTTCCCTGGAGAACCATTTTTCTCCAAACCCTTCAAGGCAAATCAAACGCATTGTTGTGTTAAAAACAAGTTACTCTTGGTTTGTTCGGGCTTTAATGATTTTTGGTTATCGGAGCTTTTCAGGAGGACTTTGCCCTGCAGATCTGCAGCTTACGAGGAGCTTAAGCTAACCTCCCATCCCTTAATTCTTACCTCCCACCGGGTCGTCTCAGGCACCTTCTCCATTGACGGAGAGCACGTGCCTACGCCGCTGTACAGGTCCCTGCTTTTTTTGGGGGGGGGGAAGCTGGCACCGCATTGACAGAGCAGCAGTGTCCAGAGGCAGGTTTGGAGGAGCACTTTGCTCTCCCACCCTGCAAGGCGGCAGGACCCGGGACACACCACACGCTCAGTGTGACAGGCGTGAACACACACTCACACCTTCCTGGCCAAGAGCCTGCTGCCGCACGCGAGGGCCACGGCCAGCGCCGGAGCTCCAGCTCATCACTGAGAGGACAGGAGGGGATATTGGGCTGAACCGTGTCCCCCTGCACCTCTCCCCATCATGGGGGGCTTGCCGGAAACTGGGTTAGGTCTTGGTGATCACCCCAAAAAACGTTTCCTAGCCAAAAGCTCCATCTAACACCAACACCTCTCCCCCTCCCCAGGTCACAGAAGAGCTCCTGACGGGAGCCCCACCACAGCTAATGGGATGTGAGACCAGGGGATCACTTTCAAACCTTCCACACCTGGGAAAGGATGGAGCAACTAGGTCTGATGCTTGACCAGCATCGATCCAGAGCCACCAAGCATGGGACTCTAAGACTTTTCTCTCTGCTCATGTCCCTTCTGATGGTAAATAAGGGCTGGTGGGGCAGTGATACCGCTCCTTGCTGCCAGGAAGGTAAAAAAGTCTTTTCTGACCTAAATGGTTCTGTGACCCTCCATCTGGTCAGACACCTGTGGATGGTAGTCTACTCTGGCAACTCATTCCCTCATCCAGCTACTCTCCTTCTTCACTGGGAGATAGGAGGGTTGGAGACGCCCTCCTCTCTTCTGTCCCTCTCACCCCAGGAGAAAGCTACTTGTTGGGACCTGCTTTGGCAGATGTTTGCTAAACCCATCAGAGGCACTGGCCACGGCTATAGATGAACAGGCAGCACTTGGCTGGGGGTGTCAGAGCCCCAGTTAGTTTAGGGTACAACTATATGTTCTCACCACCTCTTATTCCTGGAAGGCATGAAGTTATACTGGCTGCCTGCTTGCTCAAGAAGTGTGAAATTCTTTCGCTGACCTTTTCTCTTACATTATTAAAAGGTTTCATGGTCAGTTGTTTCAGAAAAAGAAAAGATAATATTTCAATATCTGTTGGGAGCTGGGGCAGAACTCGCCCCTATCTTCAGGGTGAGCTCTGATCACCTCCCCTCTTCACCCCAGCCTCGCAGAAGGACTCTCCGAGCCTTTCCAGCCTGGCTTTCCCCTGCACAGCAGGACCTGCGCCAAAGGAAAACAGAAGATTGAGTGGAGAAAGGCCACTAAAACACCTCTAGACAGGGAGCCGTTGGGTCGCAACCCACACCTAACTCCAAAAAGCAGTGATTTCTGTCACAGGACAACCTGCAAAAGCCAACACAGAAGCCACTGCTGGCCTAAGGGGCTTGTCAAAGAACACAGAGGCAGAAGAGAAGGCTGTCTTTGGGCATATTGCAGGCTCCCTGCTCACGGCGGGAGCTGTTCCCGTGAAGCCTGGACTCTCCAGATGTTCTCGTGCAAGCAAACAGCGACCTGAATATGATAAATGCCTTTCACGGATGGAATTAAACAGACGGATGGACAGGGAGATGGAGGGAACACCAAAGAGAGAATAAAGACCACACAAACAGACTCTGGGAGGCAGGACAAGGCTGTGCCGTGCCAGGGAAGGAGCTGGTTTGCCCAAGAAGCCATAGGGACGTGTACCTGAGCCCACACAGCCCTGGGCAAAGGGAAAGGGGCAGAGAGCGGAAAGCAGGCGGTGGCCCTGGGTCCCCGCTGGCTGCCGGCACTTGGGGTTGTTTTACAGTTGATTTATACGTGTAACAGGCAATGTTTCTCTGCTGTCACCAACATTAGGAGCAGAAATGCTTGCAGAGACGAATGGCCATTTGTCACTGCAAACGAAGTCTGCTTGCTCTTTTTCTTTTTTTTTTTTGCCAGTTCTGCTCAGCCAGCTCCAACAACAGATTCTGGGAAGTCACCCATCGTCCTTCGGCCACTGCTCGCCCTGCCCACGCGCTCCCCTGTTCATAAAAACCTCCTGGTTTACCCTTAACACCCTGGAAACCCATCACTCCTCCAAATGCACTGCACAAAACCTGCATTTTTTTTGCATACAAAGGGGCGTTTTGCAGTACTGAGCCAACAGAAGTCCTCTTTCATGAAGACGCCACCCAGCAGCTACCAAAGAAGTGGGCACTCCTTGGCGCTGGCCAGGCTTTCTCCAAAAACCTATCCCCGAACCTCAGGTGTGGGAATACCTGTTGAAACCTGTCAGGCAAGAGGAAAAGGAGAAAAAAAAAAAAAGACTTTTTGTCTGCAGCACATGGAGAAGCTGAAGGGGCAGTGCCGTGGAATTGAGCAGAGGGCTGCGTCTTGAAGGCAGGAGCAGGAGGAGCTGGTACTTTATGAGGGTTGTTAAAAGTTTGGGATCAGCTGGGGAGGGCAGGCTGAATTTCAGCGCTAATTGCATCCGTTCCGATTTATCAGAGAAGATTCAACCCTTGGCGTTTTGCGCTCCCCTCTGAAACGCTGGCATAGCTGGAAGTTGGGGAATGAGGAGATGCAGTAACAATCTCATTGTTTAGCGTCTGACGGCCTGACTAGCTAAACATCTGCTTGAAATATTAATAACTGTCAGATGGGAACAGCTCAGGGGCTCTATACAGTTTCACACCATCTGTTTGTAGAGTAAACACACTTACGCACAGGCACCCAACCCTTTTGTCAGGGTTTTTATTCTCTGGATTGGCACAGGTGGGAGACCAGGGGCTTCATCCCAGGAGAGCAGGGGTATGGGGGCCCCCTCAATTCATCTATAGCTAACGATAGCAGTAGTAACACACCCAAAGCCCATCAGGGGTTTTGATAGTCTCCCTCTTTGATACTCCTCCTCGCAGAGGAGCCCTGCTCCCTCTTGTGACCATTTCCCAGTGCAGGGTTTTGTTCTGGTTCTTGCTGTGCCCCGACACTGGCCCTGACATTGCCCTCATGCCCCAGGAAAAGTATCTTCTCAACGGGGATTTTGGGTGCTCCCAACAACCCAGGTGGGAGGGACGAGCCCTATGGAAATACCCTGCTATCATCACCATCTCTGCCTGCCAACCACTCAATACCATGCTCTGCTAAATATAGTCATTCCCTTCTTTTTCCATCCTTCACCCTTTGATTGGCTCAGCTGACCTCAATTTGGTTGAGGAAGACGGTGCCTCCAAAGGGGGCAGCGAGAAAGCCCGTGCTGAAAGATAAACATTGGGGGTTCACCCTCGCTGACAAAGCGACCGAGTTCATTAGGGATAAGAGCACCTTTTCCCACAAGACTTACGGCAAGAGAGAGGCAGGAAATACATGATGGGACACAAGCCACGCCCACAACTGAGGTACTTAGTCGATTCTATGCGGTGAGGCTGAGGGAGAAAGAAGATCATGCCCATTGGGATCAGTAGCCTCAGGAGAAGCTGCTGTTTGCAGATGAGACCTTTCCACACAGGACTCTCCTTGAGCTCAAAGCATGATGGGAACCACACACGCATCTCCCAAAGACGATGAAAGGCCAAGGCATTGGTTCCAAAAGTGCATTGAAGGACTATACCCCAACACCAGCATCTCCCTTACCACAGCCCAACCCTGATGATGGGCACACGCATGCCAAGGACTTGATAAAGTGAGCCAAGGTGCTCCTACTCACGTGGACCTGGAGGACGGTGGTGCCCACGGTGGTGTTCTCAAAGAGGCTGACATTGTACAGGGTCTTGCTGAAAACAGGGCGGTTGTCATTCTCATTGATGAGGTTAATCTTCACACGCGCAAAGCCAACGTGGTCCAGGATGCTCTCGTTCGCAAAGAGCTGAGAGCAGAGAGGAGGGTTGGAGGCACTGTTTGCAAAGCTTGGGGCAGATACCTACTCTTTAAGGGTGCTAAAAACACTCACCTGAGCTCCCTCACCAGGTGAGCCAGCTCAGTACTAGCCACCAAAGCATGCATGCTCAAAAACAGGAAAGAACCTCTTCCATGTGCCCTGGGGAGCTGCTCAGCTCTGGGTGAGCCAAACATCCAGAACCTCCTGCCTCAAACAGCCCCAGCCTCTGCCTTGCGACCCGGAGAACCCGCTCCCTGGCGAACCGGAGAACCGGGACCTGCCACCCCACCACAGCCTAGAGCAGAAGGAGGAAGGTTTATCTTCATCTACCTCCATCAATGCATGAAAGCGCCTCTGCCAGGGTTAACGCCACTGGTGTGATATGAGCCTGCTTCGGCTTGCCTGAGAATTTACAGCTCAGGCAGAGTTGGACAAAGCTGGAGCAGGAGGCTGGGGAGAGCTTTGGTGCCTGACAGGCACACTTAAAACAACGTTTTATGCTCTATAAAGCTTTTACAGCCCTGTGACGTAGCAAGGGGGAACACGCTCTGCTTCAGCTCTTGCAGCTGAGCCTTTGGATGTTGGAAAGCGAGAAAAGGCATGGAGCAAATCTCTTCCCCACCTCCTCCTTTTCTTTTGTTATTATTGTCATTATTTCCGGGTTTTAATGAGTTTCACAGTGTGGGTTAGACAGAGGAAGAGAGAAGCTTGCTCTTAAAAATAAAGATGTCCCCATAGAAGAATGTGGGTGCAGCCTTACCGAAAACTCGTAGCGAGGAATGGTCTCAAAGTCTAGCGGCACGGCCACACGGACGCGGATGTCCGCCTTCCCCTGGATGGAGGTCGGCGAGATGATGAAGTGGTTGGAGTTGTTGCCCACCAGGTAAACCTCAAAGACGCTGTTGGGTCCCTGGGAAGAGAGAGACGGAGGTTCGACAGCGGCCAAGGAGGAAGGACCTGTGGGCACCTGGGGACAGAAGCACCAGCCCGACCACAAAGCCTGTGCAGCGGGTGCAAACCTGCCAGCGCCAGCAGCTTGGGCACAGCCCTTCACCTTCAGACGTGTCAAAATGCAATTACCGGAGATGCAGGAGGGTGTTTCTCTGCTTGGGTTTGGTTAACTGAGTCACGGGGTTCGGCGTCTAGCAGAAGCATTTTCCTGTGCTTACTGGGAGTACAATGCGTGTGGTTTCTAGGAGTCTCCTGTTCACACGCACCCATTTGATACAAAATCCACCTGCACATGCAAGTAAAGCATCCCTGGGACAAACCTGCATGGCACACAGCTGGAGGAAAAACTTTTTTTTGTTTGAAGATCCTTGCACCACACAAGGTATCACACGCTGGCATTTGATCACCTCGTGCTGGGGGGCACAGCACAGGTGCCTGTCCCATGTAGAGGGCTTTTTCCAGTAAGACAGCTTAAACTGGGAACTGGCAAACTACTCCTGCTCTCTCAGGACCCAGCCAGCAAAGCAGCAGGACCACCGACATAGGCACAGCAGCACTTCACGACCCTCACGGCACACCTTCCTAAAGCATGGCCCAGCAGAGCACGTGAAAAGTAAGTTCAGAAGCTGCCAGAGCCGACTTTCCAATTTTCCCCGAATGACCTCCCTCCTATCAGAAAAAGGGACCAATTAAATGCACGAAGGGGCACTAATAGCAATAGCTGTCTAAGCGTGACCGCCGAGAGCCGGCGACACGAGCAGAATCCCTGCTTGCCCTCCTCCCCGCAGCCCCAAGACCTTGGAGCAAGCTGAGCATCTCCAGCAGAACCACAGGGTAGAATCAAGCCCTGAGGGCAACCACAGAGCCAAATGAGCCAGCCCTGAGGGCAACCAAGGGGCCACAGGACTCAGCCCCAAGGACAGCCTCCGCTCCAGAAGCCTAGCAATGCTCAGCTGGTGGAAAACAGAGAGCTGAGCATCCCAGAGGGAACAAAAGAGATCTGGTCTCAGGTAAACTGAGCCCCTTTACAAAAGCTGTTTTGCTGGGCAAATAAGATGTGCCAGCTCTGGCACAAGCAAGGGATGGTCCCTGACACCGGTACACAGCCTGGGAGGGAGGGAGTAGAGGAATCAGAAAACAGTGAGAGGAAGCATCGCTCCCCAAGCAGTTCCTTTGCACCCTTATCCTTATGATGTTGATTTATAACAAAAGACAGTTTTCCACCAGTCACAAAACCTCACTTAATTGAAGACTTTCTGCCCAGTTCTGCCGCCAAGCCCTCTCGGTGTGTCTCCCACGGCACGCTGCCCGCCCCACGATACACAAAAGCACCTTTTGTGGTGGTGAGATGCAACGGATTTTCTTGGAAGCTGGAGAGGAGCGAGCTTGTTGGAGGCATGAGATAAAAGTTGAAACATCAAAAGAAACCCGAGTATTTGCAGGAAGAGAGCCGGGTGGATTAATTCCCCTCCAGCTGGGGAAGGAGATCAGCCTCTAGATACCCACCATCGCTAACGAGAAGCCCCTCGAGTGCCTCAGTCTCCCCATGTGATGTCTGGAGAAGGGGAATACATCTGCCTCTTGAGAGGGCTGCTGCGAGTCGCCGTTTATATATTTATTCGGCTATTTATTTTTTTGTTTCTGCCCCCATGCTGTTTTCCTAGCTCCTGGTTCCCGGAGCCTGCGAACCCCCTGCAGATGGCTGAAAGCAAATCTGAATATTCACATTGTTATCAGCTGCCCAGCAGAAGGGGCTGGCTCAGCTCAGCTCACAGCTAGGACCCCCTGCTCCAGAGAAAGCCACGGGGAGCTGCTTATATTTTCCTCACCCCTTTCTACCTGCTCCTGCCACCTGGAGCAAACAACAGGTCTGAAACGTGTTCATGAAGAAAATAAAGCCCAAAAACCCCCAAAAGACCAGTGCAGTCTCTCTAGGCTTGCAGAGGTCCTGGTGTGCAGTGGTGGGCTCATGGCTGAGCATCATCTCTTTGTAGGGCTGAGGATGAGCACGGGGGTGTTATCAGTGCACAAGATGCTCATTTCCCTCCCCTTCCAACCCCTCACCCACCAGCTCCTGTGCTGCTCGAGTTCCTTTTCCCCCCATCGCTGAAAGCAAATTGGCACTTTTAGAGGCATAAATTAACAAGCAGCCTGCCAGAGCCTAGCAACCCTCCAACTATAAACCTGTCTGCACCCACCCTCCATTCGAAACAAATGGAACCATCAAAATAAAAAATAAAAAAAATAGGCTTTTGGGGAGGAATTTTGCTATTGCCCAAAGCTGGTACGTATTTGCACATCTCCCAGCTCGTCCCATCCCTCATACCAGTGTGCGGGGCCAGCGCTCGCTGCAGCTCGAGGCTTTTCCCTGCCGCCTCCTGCCCTGCAATCAAACCTCCTCCCAGCTGGAGCCGGCGCCGCAACCGATGGAAATTTCATGTCAATTCAGCTAAAAGACAATCGTAGCTGCAGTTGGGCATAATTATTACTTTGTTCTTCAAGCGTGGATTCCTCAGAGTGTGTAATAGGGGCTGCATGGTGTCCCTGTTGCCACAATGCCAGCATCACCCTCGTCTCCGTACGTGACTTCCAAAAAAGCGGCTGCTGACTGGTCTACCCTAAAGGCTTCATATTTGAACAACTCGTGATGGACCATCCCTCTTATCCCCTTAGACCAGTGGGCAAGGGCAGGAGCTCAGGGATGAGGCTGTGAGATGCTAGGAGGTGGGTACGTGTGTCCCTCTGGAGGTTCCGGGCGTCACGTGGGGACATGCTCATTGCAACTGCTCTGAATCACGGCTGAAAGCCCGCTCCCCCAACCCACGAGACGGGATGAGTCCTCATCCCCGGAGGGATTTAGAAGCCGTGCAGATGTGGTGCTCAGGGACATGGTTTCATGGTGGGCCTGGGTTAATGGTTGGACTCAATGATCTTAAAGGTCTTTTCCAACCTAAGCGATTCTATGAAGATGAGTTCACAGGGCACGGCTCAGCTCTGCGTCAGGAGCAGCCACGTCAGCTGTTCCAGCTTTGAACGAGGATGTTTTTTCACCCAACATCACCCACTGCCTTCACCCATCACTCCGGTTCCCACCCAGCCCCTTCCTCATGGGAGTAGGCATGGGAACGCTTCAGAAATTATTCAACCTTCAAAACAAGTATTTAGCATCACTTACCAATGGCTACATAAAAACTCAATGTAAAAAAAAAAAAAAGAAAAGAAAGAAAGAAAAATTATCGAACCCCTTAGACAAACAAGCAACTGCTTCCTGAAACCACCGAAGTGCACAGGTAGGTTGGTGGCCTGCAAGAGTTTTCAGCACCAAGTCAGCTAGATTTGGGAAAAGCAGCCTGGGATCCTCAGTTTTCTTCTCTTGCTATAGGGCTGCCTTTGGTTCCCTCTGCCCTATCTCAGCTGCAGTTTGCTTTTCTAAAATGGAGAGCGCCGCCTTTCCAAAGCACAAAATCCAGCGTAACTCCAGCTCTCCTCCCAGCCGCTTTCTAGGCACAGACTACTACCTACACAAAGCCGAGGAGTGTTTAATAGCCCTCATTCTGGCAAGTTTGCGAAGAAAGGAAAGCGCTAAGAGTTCAAGAGTGGTGAAGGTGGAAGGGGGCAGAAAAAGAGGTAATTTTAATTTTTTCTTTTTAAATAAAAACAAGCAATTAGTGCCTCTTTGTACGGCTTGGATACCTTACTCCTGGCTCTAGCTAGTGAGAGACAAATACTGCTTAATCCTTGCTTTGAAAATACAAGGCATAAAGAGAGTTATTCTCTTCACCTGCTTCAAGGCATTTAACTCGAGTGCACTGAATAGCCTCTCTGGAGTCGCCTGCCTCTCTCCAGCTCCCAGCACCCATCATCACTTGTGCCCTGCATCCCTAAGGATATCCCTGGTGTTGTGGGATGCCTGGAACAAAATGCTGCCCCCAGGCTTTCTGATGCTCTTCCCCAAGCTGGCAGTCCTTTCCTCCCACCCTTCTGTACATCCTAAGCGTCAGACCCTGCCCTCTACCCCGCTCCCGGCGGAGTTTTCTCCTTCCCTGCTCTCCCCCAGGTTATCTGTTGAATTCTACACACGCTTGCACAGACGGGATCAATCCGAGGCTGCCTCGCCTTCAGCTTATCTCTGCTCCAAATGATTGATTTTCCCTCTTTAAGGGTAATTTGCTGGTGAATTCCATGTATTGCAAAAACCCCTGTGAAATCTAATTCAGCCCAACTGGCAGCTGGCACTTTTGGGAGAGAATACTTGAGTGCCGTCAATTCCCCTTACAGTTCCTTGCCGTGTAGATCATATTTATAGTGCACGTGTCTGTCATATGCATATATATGCTACGGATGATTCATATATTGCACCTGCACATGCATGGGCACATACGAAATCCCTACGCGAGTCTCTGATATAGTTTTATGCGGCAAATATGATGGCTTGGATTATTTTTTTTTTTTAAATAATTCTCCATTCATCTTCCTCAATACGCTTATTTTGGAGAATTGTTTCAAAGTTATTTTAAAATGTCAGACCATCATACTTGTGCTTTAGACAGCCTCTGCCCTTTTCTTCCCCTTCAGTCAACCGCATCGAGGAAAATCAAGTGAAAGCCACAGCAGAAGAGCTGGTTTCCCTGGCGTGCCCTGAGAAAATACGCTGCCATTTCTCTTAGCATACCTCTGTGGATCTTGCAGCGATAGGAAACTCAGATGGGGGATGCCTTGAAGGATGCCCTGCTCCTTTCTCCTGCACAGTGTTCTCCGGCATCAAGCCACCAGGCTGTAAAACACCAGAATATCCAGGGGGAATATCTGCATCCTCCACCTCAGCCAAGCCTTGAGGAGCCTGAGCTACCCAGCCCTGTGAATTAACTTGTTCCACAGCTCGGGGCTCTTGCTCTTGACCTGGAAACAAACCTGGCTGCAAAAGTGGATAAATTCAAGGTTTTAATCTTCCGTCTCCTGTACAGGATTTATTCGTCCCTGCTTATCTATCGCAACACGAACAAGAGGAGAATCGAACACTAGCCTGGGAGAGTGTATAGACTCTTCTGCTGTCCAAAAAGAAAAACCAGCATGCCTGGTTGAACACCTCTTGGTTGCACCCCAAATCCACATCTGGGGTCGCCTCAGCTTGACTCGAGTACATCCTTTGGAGACGCTCCTCCATCCCACCTTGCACCCCCAGCCAACTCCTCCTGCAGCAAGACCACGACCACATTTGAGGGATGGCAGTTGGGAGTTTGCAAAGGACAGACTCAGAGCAACGGATTTCTCCTTGGAGGCACCACCCCGCTTAAGTATCTTGTCTGAGACGTTAATGCCAGCCCAGCTCCAGAAAGGCACTTCGACACAGAGGTAAATTCAAGCGTGTGCTTTTCAAGCGCTGTCTTGTGTGCAATGAAAATGCACTTTTAAGTGCTTTGCTGAATCGTTTAATCTAACTCCTTCAAAAACCAATCATTTAAGCTTGTGCAAAACACCCCCCAAAAAAAGACAGACCAAAAACCCCACCACTTAAAAAGGCGCCGGGGGATGATTACAAAACAGCTTCACGTCCAATGGCCTTGGCAGCCCATAGGGTGTGTTTTAAGAACCAGACTCACGCCACAACCCTTTCCACAGCTCTACAAAGACAGGGAGGCTCCCCAAAGCCACTCAACCCCACAGGACCTTCACATGGGGCAAGGTTCAGGGGTGGGCTGCTGCATCTAAGTAAGACCCCACCAGGTGTGAGGGCTAAAGGAACAGCATCCAAATACATTGGAGGAGGAAGAACAAGGCTGGGTGGCTTGGCTCAAGGAAGAAACCAACCTGCCAAGGGGTTCTTCCAGGACTTGAAAGACACAAGTTAGGAGGCAGGAGACAAAACTCAAACAAAACGATCTTCTTGAAGACTCTAGCTTTGATTTCCTGTGCCTCTATCCATCTGTTCTCATTTATTTCTTTAGCTGCTCTCCCGGGAGACGTCTATAATTCTCTTCTTGTTTTTCTTTGCCCCTTACACAAATGAATTGTGTCATCTCCAGCATGAAGACTGTGTTGGTGAAATAGCTTCTGTCAGCCTTGTCCTCAGTAACATCCCTGCCTGAAGACCCAGTCCTTCCTGTCCCATTCCTCCACCCCTGCACCCAGAGAGAACCAAGAGAGCCTGGAGCCATCTCAACTACCTCGAATGCAGACGGTTTGTAAAAGCCTTGCAACTCTCTTGAGTTACTTGGGCATCCAAAATACCATCGTCAGGCAACTATATTTCCTCTCCCTAAATTTTTTTACAGCAAGTTTTGGGGCACTAGAAGCAGCCTGTCCGCAGGTGCGGTCCCAATTCTAGTTCACATACATCTTTCTCATAACCTGGGTATCCTCTCCCTGCTTTTTTTCCCCCTCAAAGTACTACCCTGATGGTTAATCCTGTTGCAGGCATCCATGAGGGGAAATAAGAAGGATCCACTGCAGGAGAATGCAGGAAAAAAGCACTCAACAAATTGCTTATAACTTCCCTCCCTCTGGATATTCTAAGACATCAGCTCTCTCGTGCTTCTTATCAGTGAAAATAATGCTACGGTCAAAGCAATCTGTGCTAATATGATGGTGTCCAAAGACATGTACGGTAAAACTCCTTCAGACTCCCTTAGCGTAAGAGGTCCTCTCTCAGCACTTTTAAAAATCTCGGCCAATTCTTTTGGGGAAATCTCAGGAAGTTAAAGAAATACATCAAAAGAATGAGTCTATTTTTCGCTGGAGCGATGGGGAAGGCAAGGCTATTTTTTATTCTCTCATTTTAAAATTAGCAAGGCTGAAAAGTGAATTCTTGAATGGGAGTCGCTCCAGTAAAATGAGCTTTAAACCAGAAATAACGACAGATCCTTCATCCTTCTGGCACAAACAGAAGTGCTACAATGCCCTTCAAGAATGGATCTGCTGACATCTCTCAGAAAGTACGACAGCGGCTCTATTCAGAAACTATCCTGAGCATCTGTCATACCCATATCTTCTTTATTAGCAATTGACATTTTCAAGAAAAAACAGTCTCTTTATCTGCTTAATAGCTCATCTGCACCTCGTCAGGCTGAACTCATAACTCTCGGACGGTGACATCATGTCACAAGTAGATTATTAGTTCTGTGTCATAATCACATCACGTGGGGGGAAAAAAAGAAAAAAATTTCTGAGTGGCTTTACAAGATGCAGTGAACTCCACCCAGGGCTAGGGAAAAGCAAATCCGTCATTTCAGCCAGTAAAGGCATCTTGGAAAATGCAGATTTTAACTGACCCACTGGGATTTTGGGAGGCGGTGGGGGGGAGATGCTCCCTTTCTTATTGCTTGGTGCTATCACATCGCATACCCGAAGCATCAGGAAAACACCCCAATGATGTCATTTATTCTGACAAACTCTCTCCCCTTGCCTCTTGCTCGGGCTGAAGAGGAACAGGGATGGCAGGAGCCTGTAGCCAGAGCCTTTCCGAGAGATTTCGGAAAGTTCACCATGAGGTGTCAGCACTTATTCGAAGCAGACACCACGCAGCATGGCGGGGGTTCGAGTGCAGCGGCACACACAGAAGCAGCCAGACGTGAACTGCACAAGTCAAATAATCAGAGTAATTGACGGCTGCGAGCCCAAGGGCTGGGGAACGGGCTGCAATCCTCTATGTGGCACGGACCAGCGCTTAATGAATAGGAGCTCCATTAACACGAGGGAGGAACAAACCTCCGACACTCCTCCGGCTCATTTGCAGTGATGAACTGGTGTTCTAGTCCCCTGCATCACTGCCCCCAGCCCCGTGCTAGCAGCTCTCTCTTAATTCCACCCCGACAGCAGCAGTACCCATCCCCAACGGCACAGAGAACCCACAGGTCCTTCCTTCCCCCTCCCTGGCAGGTCCCCGGGCAGCCCAGCAGAAAACCTCCTCCCTTTCTAAAACAGACCGGCAAAGGACTGCCCAGCAAGAGCCCTGGGAAGCAGGCAAGAATCAGCATCCCATGCAATCCTATTTTCTGGCTCTCAGCTGCCGTGCAATCCCGACGGCGTTCGAGCAGTGCCTGCTCTCTGGGGAGGGCATCTGCACTCAGGGTAACTGAGCAAGATGAGCAACGGCAGCAGTACGAGCTGGAAACAGGGGTATCAGGATATAACTGTGCACCTTGTCAGTGACTTATCCTTCCTTGCATCCCCCAAATCAGCACTACCTTACAAAGGAGGACAGAAGCACCTGCAGCAGGGAGAACCTCACCTCATCTTTGTCCTGCACCTGGATGAAGAGGGGAAGAGCAAAGCCCACCTGGGCCAGCTCTGGGATGGCCACGCTGTACTCGGAGCTGTTGAACTCGGGCGCGTTGTCGTTGATGTCAATGACGAGGATGTGGAAGGTGGTGGTGACAGTGGCGTTGGAGGGTGTGCGGTCGTCATTCAGCTCTGTGCCCTACAAGGAGAGAAAACAACCGGGCAGCCTTTATTTTTCAAAGAATACACGTAAAAGAAAGCTTTAGATCAGATATTAGGAAGAAATTAGTCACTATGAGGGTGGTGAGACACTGGCACAGGTTGCCCAGAGAAGTTGTGGTAGCCTCCTCCCTGGAAGTGCTCAAGATTAGGCTGGACGGGGCTTAGAGCAACCTAGTCTGGTGGGAGATGTCCCTGTCCATGGCAGGGGGTTGGAACGAGATGGTCTTGAAGATCCCTTCCAACCCAACCCATTCTGTGATTCTATGTTGACCCAGCTCTTCCATCACCCACTCTTCAGATCCACAGCACTCTTGCAAAACCTCCCAGGGGGTTAACATCTCTCTTGTGAGGGCTGTGGCCAAGTTCTCACTGTGCCCCTATCATGTAGTACATTGTCAGGACTCAGGGTCGCACTAGGGGATAAGTAGGTGCCTTCCCCTCCATAAGTATTTAAAGCAAAACTTGAAGTAAAAAAATGCCTCGCAAAACACAAAAGACAGTCCTCAAAACGAGGGAAGCCGCTACGAAGCAAAGAGCACTCCTATTTTCTCCTCTGCCACCTCCTGAGGTGGGTCCAGGAGCAAGGAGCTAACCACCACAGAACTACAGAAGGGACAGAAAACTAGGGCAAGAGAGGAAAACAAGATTTAGACCTTAAAATAGGTTTGGCAACACATGTCTAAGTACACAGCTGAGTCATGACTCCGTATCGCACCTCTGTCTCAAGAAAGACTTGAATTTTGCTTTCCCGAAAGGAAAGAGGGCAGATTTTATTGCTAGAAAAGCGAGACTTGTGAAGCAGCCTTTTCAAGCAGACTCCCTCCTCCTTGTCCTTTGGATAATCTTTGCTTTGCCGTGGGCATGGAAAAGCAACGTGAATGCGACCTACACGGCTCATCGCTATTCACCGCTTCTGCGCACGGCAGCGGAACAGGCTGATTCGAACGAGGAGCCATCCAGCTGTATTTTCACTGCAAGCTCCAGGATGAGAGCAGCAGAGAACCTTTTGGGTCCTGCGGATGTGGGACACGGAGGAGTTGGCATTCCCGGGAGGATGCAAAGTTTGTGCGGAGAGGGAATGAAAAAAAAAAAGTAAAAAAAAAATAATCGATTGGGATCAACAGAATATTGTTGGAGCTTCATTGTCACGGAGGCAGGAGAATGGGCCAGTTTTCAGGTTGACAAACTTTTCCAAGATACAACCGATATTTCTGTCGCGATTAAAACCAGAAGATCTTCCCTCAGTTTCTACTGAACTGAAAATAAATAGCAAAGCCCAAACCAGGAGGTACCAGGGATGGATGTAGATCTCTTCTCTGTGCACAATGCCCCACCGTACAGCCTGCACCGGACCAAGAGAGATAATTCCTCGTCCCTTGGCTCCCCACCTCTGCCAACAAAGCATCGCGCTCGCTGAAACAAGACAGTGACGTGCATGCTGCTGCCCTCCCGATCAATGACCCTTCCTACAATGCTGATTTTTCCCCACCCTAGCCCAACAGAATCTATACTTCTAAATGCATTTCCAACCAGCTGCCCAGCTTGGTATTGATTTTAATTACAGGGCTGCGAGTAGAGCCAGGGAGCCGCTCTCAGGTGGGGCTGGAAGACCACGGTTCAGTGCCTTTTAGTGGTGTGGCAGCTTTCAGCATCACTCTGTGCCTGCTCATGCTGGGTAGATACAGAACGATGCCCTGTGACACCATTGCCTGCTGACGTGACATAACGTTTCGTGTTTCTGTTTGGGATTTTTGGGGGAAAGGTGGGAAATAGGCACCAGCGGGCACAATTGAGGTGCCCGAATGTATGTGTCTCTGTGCTACCTGCAATCCTAGGGCATCTGTGTGCTACAGCTGCAGGAAGGTCTAGTTGGAGACCAGGCAGGGCACTGAAAATGACCTTATGTAATGCCACCTAGGGGCAACTACGATTTGGGCCACCATACAAGGGGGTTGCACTAAAGATCTCGCCTGGCTTGGCCGGGGGACCAGCACATCACGCCTCTGGATGCCCATAAGATGTATCCCAGGTTTGCACCTCCACCTTGAAGGAGTTGTCCCCAAGCAGGATGCCCTCCTTGTGGGTCTCTGGGATGGAGGAGGTCTCACCTTCACCGTGAGGATGAATCCAGCGCTGTAGAAGGGGTTTTCCCGGTCAAGCGGCCCATTCAGGGTTAAGGCTCCACTGATGTAGTCCAGTGCAAAGATGCTGTTGGTGTTACCTGAGGGAAATAACAGGCGGTGTGAGCACAAGGGGCCGGCACAGCGGACATCAAACGGTGCTGGGGATAATGCAGAGAGAGAGGTGGGAGGACTCGAGCCTCTTCCCCACCACCAGTCACCACAATCTCTCTCTTGAAAGAGAGATTTTTAGAGAGCAGACCCACTGCCAGGGCAGGAGCTCCAAGCTGGGCACAGGCTCTGTGAACCCTGCGCGTTATCTTAACATACTTTAAAACGTAATGGCCCTCCCCTTCTCACGCTTGCCCCAGCTCAAGGCTCTAAAAGGTTCTGCTTTCCTTCCAACAGCTGATAAAGTCACAATGCTGCAGGTGACTGAAGAATTCAAAAGGGTTTGGGGTATTAAAATACGCAAGAGCACACACAAAACCAGGGCTGAATCCAGGTGTTCCATGTCCCTGAGGTAGGCATGGATTCTCTCTTAAAATACAGGAGTTGGGGGACATCATCAGCCCAGGTTAATCCGAGGAAGGCACAGACAGACCAAGCTCACAGGGAACCCTTCACACAACAAACAACAGTTTAACTGTGAAGTGTCTTGCCAGAGGATGCTGAGGATGATGGAAGTATTCAAGGAGAGACTGAGGAGGTTAATACAAGGAAAAAAAAAAAAAAAATCTGTCAAAGAGAAGCCTCCTGCAGCTCAGGAATTTTCTCCTCTGGTGCCAGGGAGAGTATTAGAGTAAGTACTGTAGACACTTGCCCTGCTTTTAGGCTCTTGCCAGATGTGTTGACCAACCCTACATGCAAGCAACCAGTGTGCCAGGGAGGGCTGTGCCTCTTCCACCAAGCATCCTACCCTCAGCTTGACTTCTCCTCTTGGAATTAGACACCCAAAGAGGATTAAAACAACACTTGAGCCTCACGGCCGGCAGATGCTAAAAGGACGAATGTTCCATGATGGGAATGCTCTCCTGATGGTTCTGGGCACACCCTCTGTCATTCAGACAAAAGGAAGCAGTTGGTATGTGGAGCCTGGGATACCTGATGCCAGCCCCACACAACATCAGAGGAGGCTGCTGAATTAGTGATGACCAAGGAGGTTACACGTGGCACCCTCCCCTCCGCCTCATCTTCTCACGGTATGTAGAAAGCCCTGATCCAGCCCCAAATTGGAGCGAGGAGACCCCGCAGGTATACTATATTCATCCCAGTCCAAAATAAATTAAAAAAAAACCAAACAAACCTCAAACTGTCTTCTCGATATATCTCAGCATGAACGAAACACGCACAACATTTGTCATTTCCCTGGAAGGGAGTTGCGAGACAGTTCTGCCACCGCAGAAAGTTGTTTCCCATCACTCAGCATCTGCCTCGCTCCCATCCAACTCCCCGCCTAAGCACAGCTGCACCTTGTGTGGGACAGCCAAAGCCTCCAGGTCTGGCTCTGCCCCCCTCCCAGCCCCAGGAGCCACCCATTTCCATCCTCCTCTCCTCTCCCTCTCCCTCTCCCCTCCTTTTCCTCCCAGGCCCTCCCCTCTACCCTCTCCATCTGAAATGGACAGTTTAACTGCTCCATGGCTACTTAAAACATTAGCATCTAATTTTCACTGCTGTACCTGAAGATGCCCCCTCTCTGGAAGTGCCCAAGGCTAGGTTGGACAGGGCTTTGAGCAACCTGCTCTGGTGGGAGGTGTCCCTGCCCATGGCAAGGGGCTGGAACCAGATGGTCTTCAAGGTCCCTTCCAACTCAAACCGTTCTGTGATTCCTAGTCACCTCCCTCAGCTGATTATTCTCTTTTCATCTTGGCTTTCCACCTGCGTTCTGTAATTTACATCTGACTCTTTAGGAGACCCCTTCCGACACCAGCTCTGAAGGACACCTCACGAGATGTATGGAATAGAATAGTGCTGCAAGAATACCATGTTGCCAAGGTAAAGTTGATGCATCGGGGTAATCTTGGTACGCTCTCCCTCCCTGATATAAAGTGCAATACACCCACCTTTTTAATCATAAAATACTATTCTGCTAACAGGAATCTGTAATTGCAGAGACCAATGGATTTTAGTGGAAATAGGTCAATAGGGCAGGAATTTGACACAAAGAACCAAACGCAACAGTGAGCCCCATGTCCTACAAATGGTCACGTGCTTCATATTTGACCACAGACATTTTTGGAAGGACAGATGAATAAATTAGGGTCCCAGGCTGCAAGTCAGAGGCTTTTCTCTAGCTCAGTCTCCTCAACACTGCTCAGACGGCAGATAAACATCTCATGCCACCACCAGCGCCATTCTTCTTGTGGAGAATTGTTGGCTTTGCAAATTAGCCTCCAGATAGAAAGAGGTGTCTTCAAACTCAGCCCTCAGAGGCCTTTCAGAGCATCCTCCACAATGCTTCTCCAACCACGACTTTGTTATTCCTCTAACCAGTGGATCCCCACTGAAGCACTCACACTAAAGAGCAACGCACAACCCCTGAAGATGCTTTCTTTGCAAAAAAAAATAAATCAAAAAAACCCCTCTAATCATCTTCACATGTCTTCACTTTCCTCAGAGCAAGGAAAAAAAAAAAAGGTGAAGGAGAAGTGGGAAAAAATATCCAATTTTGTCTTTCCTTTCCCCCAGTCTCTCATTCTCCCCACTTTTGCATCACTTCTCCTTCCTCTCTGGTTCCCCTGTTACCTCTGCTGACCCGGCAAAAAGCTGAGCCCAGATTAAGTGCAGCCTAGTCCAGAGCTGCTGGTGCAGTTGAAGACACTGGTTGATGGTTTTCAACCCGTTTGTCCACTCCACCACTCTCGCAGCGCTTGCTCTGTCCTCCTCCCAGTTGCGCTGGATGGCCACCCCCAGCCCTTGGAGGCAGGTGGACATCATGAGCTCAGCCAGCTCCTCATCCCACTGCCCCAACGCTTCAGCTGACGGCTTTCGTGGCCACTGGAGAAAGGGAGACCCTTTGCAAGGAGTTCCAACCCAGCCAAGATCCCCAGATAGTCTCATTTTTCAGAGGACACGGAACGGCGTGGACCTTTCCATCTCCGTGTTTGCACGCTGCAAATCATTCTAACGACACAGACAAGAACTACCACGGCCATGCTTGACATGGAAGCCAAGTGACCTTCAAGAGGTGCCTCCGCTGCCTCTTCTCTTCCATGTCCCCATCACATGATGTCTCACGAGCAGTGCTCACGCCACGGCACGCACATCCTTCTGCAATGCAACGATTGCTCACTTGGCTCAGGAGTTACCAGCCGTTGGACCTGTCCTTGCTTGAGCCATCTACTGCCTTGTCTGAAGCCCAGTTGGAACCACAACAGGTTTTCTAGATGGAGACCAAGGACTTCATTTCCATGCCTTTGGTGCCCAAGACTGTGGTCTGTTTTTTGCTGAATATACAAGTCCTCCACCTCCTTCTCCATCCAGGTGAGGATGCGACACGTTTACAGAGAACTAGGCAATCCAGCTCCACTGCACAAAGCCAAGGAATAAATGAGTCTTTCATCACTAAAGGAGGAACTCGGCTTTCAAGCACTGGGAAAGCAAAGAGGGCTTTAAGGAAAGCAGGGCAAGGAGAAGAAAATCAACACGCCTAGGAAGTAGCATCCACTGGTGAGGGATATCCCATGGGAAGGCAGGTTCCACTGCAAATCCACAGAGCTGCTGGGAATCAGAGATGGGGAAGAAATTAGATGATGGGAAGGGAAAGGCTGAGCAGCAGAAGGGAGCACTGAGAGAAGAAAAGTAAATGGACAGTGTTTTTGAACACTCAGAAAGGGGAAAGGTAAAACCAAAAAAGAATGAACTTCGGAATAGCAATCTGAATGCATTTCTGGCAGACTTGCTGTTCTCACCTCACATGGAACAGGCTTGCTGAGAGCATACAAGCCAAATTTCCTGTCACTTCATGGGTAAAAGGAGAAGGAAGACTTCCCATCCCTCTGGCCAGGTACAGGGACGGCAGCAGCTCTTGCACCCACCATGGCTGTGCAGGGGACTGGGAAAGCAGGGACCAAGGGGATGAATCGCAGCAGTCCATTTGGAGCGTTTTTCCAGGCTCATTGAGGAGTGGATGGTGGCACAGGCATCATTTTGGAGAAACACTGCTATAATGAGGGATTTTATAGACGAAGGCCATAATGTTTAATCACCCTCAGCCAACGCTCTCACAGTTTAAGAAGACCATTAAAAATATTGGCTTGAGCCCAGGGAAAGGAAAAAAAAAAAAAAAAGAAAAAAGACACTGATGTCTCCTCCTTCCTCTCTACCCCTTTGGCCTTTGAGCACCCTTCAAATCCCTAGGAGGACGAGATGCAGCTGTTGCCCAGACTGAGTGAAGTCCTGTCAGTCAGGGAAAGTAGATTCCTCCCTGCACAGAATTTTCCCACTCCCCTTCTGCACGAAGGACCCTTTGTATCGGGGAGCCGCATCCTCGAAAAGCCTCGGGATTGCTGAGCCGCCGAACTCGGAAGCGGATGACTTTCATGAGATGTGAAAGGGGAACCCATCACACACCTTGCACCGGGATAATTTATTAATCAAAATATGCTCCGTCAGGGCTCCTCGGCACCAAAATAGATGCTGTTGGACGTGGTTCATAGAGTCAGCAACAGACACAGTTATCATCGTATAAATAGCCCATCAGCTGCCGTGACCACCTCGGTGCTCTTCACCTTGAGGTTTTGCCCCCGTGCGATATGCAGGGAGGCGTGCCAGGGCAGATACCTTGCCCCACGCTTAAATTCAGAGGGAACCAGCTCTTACCAAAGGAAAAAGGCTTGTATTACAACCTAGGCTTTATTCTTTGGCTCTACGTGAAATCAAGCTGCTCGAGGAGACAGTGCCTGTCTCTCCAGCTCTGGATTTTGTATTGCTCTTCTTCCCAGAAGATGCAGTACAAGAAAATAAGAGGAGAGATTTATCACCCGAGATGCAATCCCTCTCGCAAAGCCCCCAAGAGCCGTGGCTGGCTGCCAGAGAGGAGAAGAGAGCCCATAGAGTTTAAGGGTTCCTGCTCTGAGGGTAAATCATCACACGAAAGGAT